CCCGCGGTCCAGCCCGTCCCAGCCCGCGGGCCAAACGGGGCGGGCCAAATAGGCCCGCGATTGAACGGGCTGGCCAAGCAATGGCCCAAGCCCGTCCATTTAGGCGGGCGACGGGCCAGCCCACGGGCCATGGCCCGTTTTGACAGTGCTACTTATTAGCATAACATAGTCTTAGTATTGTACTTAAAGCAACTTGTCTTAGCATTAAGGCCACTTAATTGTTTGCCCCCAAAGTTGGTCGTCCTCAATCCATCTTAATTGCTACCAAACTTGGCGAACTTGATGTAAATGCGACTCTACTTTCCTTTTGTTTAATTTAACATTGTTTTTCGTATTTTGTTATCAACGTAGTGTACACTAATTACATACAAAATGATGCATTTCAGTGATGGACAAAGCTAATTATTTGAAACAAAAGTCACGTAAATTGTTGTAATTATTTGAAACAAAAGTCACGTAAATTGTTGTTTATTTTTGTGGTGTTATTCTCCTTTTTAGAATTGTGTATTCTTCTGGATGATTTTCATTTCTATTTAGTGGGTGGATTAATTATGTTGATTCTAGGCTTCCTTCAGGTTGATTATAGAAGCGTGTATTTATTTCACTATCATCCATTCTCATTTGATTTTACTTCATTTGACACATCTTATAAACACGCCTATAATTTATTTAATTAGTTTATATACTTAGTTTATAAAGTTCTTGTATTCAAATAAACATGTTTGCTTTAGTAGGATTAACCTTTAAAAAACGCTCAAGCTTATATGACACCACCGGTTAATTTTGTCAAACCCTTTATCATCTTCTACCTCCTATTCTTTTATTTGTCATTTTTGTATTGATCATTAATCAAATAAATGAATTTTAAATCTTTTATTTTATTTTTTTCATTGTTACTCTCATTTAATTAATACACTCTACGTTTTAGAAGGAAAGGTGTGAAAACGATGAGTTTTTTTTCTTGAAAGTACATAAATAAAAGCCGAAAAGAAAGAAAATTATTGTTAATTTGCTTTAAATAAGACTAATATTGACAAGAACTAAATTCTTAATTTATGTGTTAAAGCAGAGGGGAGGACATCATTTAAAAAGAATAGGAATGAGTAAGTTTTAATCTATTTTTTTACATATATTTTTACAAATTATTATTAAAATAAAGAAATGATCTAACGGTTAAAACATAAGACGGGACGGTACCTTTAACATTTCCCTAAGACAAAATTGCATCAAAATGCACCACCTTTTAACTTTTTGCAATTTAATCACCACCTTTCAAAGTTTGCAACTAAGTACACCAGCTTTAGACATTTGACAAATCGAAGCATGCCAAACGGAAACCAGTACCGGCTTTTTTACGTGGCAATGTCGAAAACTCACGTGGAAATCGGAAATACACGTGGAATTCCAAAAATAACAAACAAAAAATTAAAATGCCACAAAATCAGTCTACCTGTCAGATTTGCTAAAATAAAATTAAAATTAAGTAGCTCCTCAGCCCTAAATTCAAAATCAATCGAACAACTAAAAACCCTAAATTGCAAAATGGTCAAATAATTTGAACCATGGGGGAGATTTATCAATCTTGATGGTTCTGTAGATTATTTTGGAGGTGAGTTATTTTGGCCACAAGAGAACATTTTGAATTGATCGATAATTTTTCAATTTAGGGTTCATAGTTGTTCGACTGATTTTGAATTTAGGGCTGAGGAGCTACTTAATTTTGATTTTATTTTAGCAAATCTGCCAAGTAGACTAAATTTGTGGCATTTTAATTTTTTGTTTGGTATTTTTGGACTTCCACGTGTGTAGTTGATTTCCACGTGAGTTTCCGACATTGCCACGTAAAAAAGTCGGTGCCAGTTTCTGTTTGACATGCTTCGATTTGCCAAATGTCTAAAGTTGGTGTACTTAGTTGCAAACTAAGAAAGGTGGTGATTAAATTACAAAAAGTTAAAAGGTGGTGTACTTTCATGCAATTTTGTCTTTCCCTAAAATATGAATCAATGCAAAATAAATTTTGCTATAATTCCCCTCAAAGTAGCAAGTCTAAAAGGCCAAACCAGTCAAGCTCACACTACTCTCCCAACACTTTTCTCCACACACATCACCAATCGCCACATCGAAAACTCCGTCCCGCCCTCCGCCACCATGCAAGCTCTCCAGCCCGCCGCCCTCCGCCCCTCCCCCCTCGACCCCCTACGCGCACGGCGTCACTCATCCGTTATCCCCAGCGGCAGTGCCAGGACGCCGGCCAAGAGGCTCCCCTTCAAAGTCTCCGCGTCCGCCCCTGCCGTCTCAGCCCCCAAGCGCGAGACGGACCCCAAGAAGCGAGTGGTGATCACGGGGATGGGCCTCGTGTCGGTGTTCGGGAACGACGTGGACGCATACTACGAGAAGCTGCTTGCCGGCGAGAGCGGCATCACCCCGATCGACCGGTTCGACGCCTCCAAATTCCCCACGCGGTTCGGCGGCCAGATCAGGGGGTTCAAGTCCGAGGGTTACATTGACGGTAAGAACGACCGGAGATTGGACGATTGTTTGAGATACTGCATTGTTGCCGGGAAGAAAGCGCTCGAGGGTGCGGATCTCGGGGGCGATAAGCTCAACAAGGTATTAGTGAAATTCGTCAGCTCAATTCAGTTGATTCAGATTTCAAGGTATTAATGAAATTCGTAAGCTCAGTTTAATCGATTCAGAATTTTGAACAGTGGTGCTGCTACGCCTACGGCGTTCTTTTAGTTTTAGCTGATTTTGCTAGAAGTCCCGAATTAAAATTCTTTATAGTTCTGTATGTGGATTTGTTGATTGGTATGTTACTGGAAGAAATGGAGTTGGAAATGGGATTGAGTTGTGATATCTGAATATCCTAGTTGGCGTTAACTTTTTTAACGTTGTGTGTAAACTACGAACTACGGACTAGATTTGAGCATAGGGGATATGGTTCTGAATTGATGGGTTAACCAGTGATCTCATTCATATTCCACTTACACTTGAGATTTAGATGATGTTAGATAGTTTCGTACTTTATATTTAATTGATAGCATTTGTTGGTTCATTTAGTTCAGTTAATTGTGACTCGTCAGCCCCTTCTCTTCACTCCCTCGTTGGCTCCTGCCCTTCTGAATTTTCATTTCTTTTGTTTATTGTAGCTCTGGATTTGCAGGCATAACCATGTGAATTATTCAGTTTTCTTTTGT